GTGGTGAGATTGCTTTGCTTGGTTGAGTTTGTGAGCATGAACTTGAAATGTCCCAATACTTACCATTTATTTTTAGAGGAAGGGAGAAAGCGAACTTAGCACTAAGGTTAGCAACAGATATACAACCTTAAGATAAATGTCCAGTGTCTATTTTGACATCTGTAATACTAATCATCACCTATATAGTAATGGTGGGGTCAAATGTAACATGAGCAAAAATAAAAATAAAAACTGAACTAGATGAGTCATTAAATAGCAGGTGTCCATTACATCATTCGCTCTATTGGTAATCACAACATGATTGGGGCGGAAATTACTGAAACTGTAAAATTAAAAGGATCATAATTCCTTAAGCAAAGACAAAAATAGGGTTAGAGGCAAGAGAAAGTTTGAAATATTTTAAGAAGTAAAAAGAGGAGAGGCAGGAGATGGGCAGCAGAGGTAGGCTGTAAAGGAGAAATAAATAAAATTAAAGTAATTTTAAAAAGAAAAGGACAAAGAGGAAACAGGAAAATTTGTTATTAGTGGAGGAAGAGAGTGAGAAAGGTAATAAGAAGGTCAAAACTGAGGTAAGAACGAATAAGCAAATGCAGGATCAAAACAGTTCAAATTCATGTATAATTATACCCAACCTAAGTCAAACCATGGCTAAATAATAAACAAGTAAAGAAAAAAGCAACTAAAATGAAAACAAAATTATACTATATGTATATATTTTTATATATACATATACATTTTTCAAACCTATTGGCACAGTGAGCATACCCCCCCCCACACACACACACATACCACACGTACACAAAATCCTACAGAACAGGAAAACATAAAAAAGAATAAAATATAATGATATTTTTTAAAATTTTAAGTAGTAAAAAATATGGAATTATCTAGTAAAAAGAGAGAAGAAAAAAGAAAAAAAATGTTTTAGCAGCTTTGTTTGCTGCTATGACCAAAAGACTAACAAGAACAATTTTAGAGGAGGAAATGTTTATTTGGAGACACGTGGTTTCAGAGATTTCAGTTCATAGATAGCCATCTCCATTCCTGGGTTTATAAGGAGAGGGATGTAAGGCAGGACATCATGAGGGGAGAATGTGGCCAAGGAAAGTGGCTCAGAACATCACACAGGAAGCAGAGAGCTGCACTCTTCAGGGACAAAATATATGCCACAAAATATATATACCCTCAGGGGACCCATCTCCTACAGCCACCCGTACCTGTCTCCAGTTACCACTCTATTAATCCTTATGAGGGCAAGAATGCACTGATTGTGTTAAAGCTCTCATAACTCAATCATTTCACCTTCAAACTCTCTTGCATTGTTTCACACCAGAACTTTTGGGGGACACCACTTTTGTAAAGGCTAGCAAAATCATAATGAGAAATAAAGGGCTTGTTTCTGGTGAAGTGGTCAAAATTGTTGGCAAAGATGAGTTTTCATTTCATATAAAGGGCTGGGGATTTTTAAGTCCAATGTCTTTGTGTTCCTCACTTAGCTGTCATCTTGGCTAGGAATCAAAACTGATTGTAGTAGCTCTCAACTTCCTGTCTCTCACATTAGGGTGGGTTAGATGTGGAGTGTTAACAGGTGGCAGAGTGGAGCACAGTTCTAAATTGGAAGTTCCCTTTGGAACTCTGTGGGTTATAGATTTGATTATAGATTTGATCCACAACTCCTATTGTTGAAGAGGCGCCAGTCTCTGCAGGACATCTGGATCTCTATATAGCCTTTGGTAAAACCCACTTTTAGGGTATAGAGACTAAACCTCCACAGATTTCACCTTACCCTTCATAAGCCCTGGAACACAGATACTCCTGTGAAGCCTCTGTTGGTGTCTTCCCAATAACTTTTAGGGGGTGACTGTAACATTGGGAACTTACTCCCCCTGGTATGTGGAGCCTGTATGGTCCAAATACAATTTTCTTGGTCCTTTTTCAGTTACTCTGATTTCAGGTACACTCTGGGAATTATGATAGGTGACTATTGGCAATATCCTTTGAGTTCCCTATCTCCTATCTCTGCTAGATGCTGCACAGCACTTACAGATGATTCCTGCACTGTGTGGTGACCAGGAGGAGTGTTTTCCAGTGATTCCAGAACCTGCCAAATGCTATTTTGGGTTGATTTTTCCTGAACCACTTTCCCCACTAATGCTGTCTGTTAAAAACCAGCTCCACAGGCTTTCCCCAAGCCAATTTTTATTTGTTTATTAATTTCTTAAAAAATACACAGCCCAGAGTCGTCTTTGCATGCCTCTGTTCTGCCTCACTGTTCAACAGCTTCTGCTTGATCCTACTGGTGGTCAAGCTAGCACATATCTAATGTATTACCTCTTGCATTACAAGATTTTTTACTTTACTCTATGGTTTCTTTTAAAGTCCAGTATAAAGTTTTAGTCAGGTCCCTTAATTACCTACCTCC